CTACCTGCCTACCTACCTCCTACCTACCTACCTACCTACCTACCTACCTACCTACCTACCTACCTACCTACCTACCTACCAACCTAGCAACCTAGCAACCTAGCAACCTAGCAACCTAGCAACCTACCAACCTACCAACCTACCAACCTACCAACCTACCTACCTATTTACTTACCTCCCGACCTCCCTACCGACCTCCCAACCTCCCTACCTCCGTACCTACCCACCTACCGACCTACCGACCGACCGACCGACCGACCGACGGACCGACCAACCGACCGACCGACCGACCGACCGACCGACCTACCTACCTACCTACCTACCTACCTACCTACCTCATACATGTACATCTGTATATACATGTACGTACATATACATATACATATATATATATATACATATACTATATACATGTATATATGTATATGTATATATATATATATGTTCATACACATACACATATACACACATACATGTACATATACGTCCTCATACATGCATACGTACTTACATACATACACTGCATAGAAATATACATATATATATATATATGAATCAGACGCACATATAACTAAACAAGATGCCATCCAGCTTCGACTTCTGACATGAAGCGGAGGTTTTGGTATTGCGGCTTGAGGTTTGGGGTTTAGCGGACTAGGGGTTTAGGGTTTAGGGGATTAGGGCTTTAGGGGTTTCGGGCTTAGGGGTTTAGGGGTTTAGGGTTTAGGGTGGATTAGGGTTTGTTGTTTAGGGGTTAGGGGCTTGGGGTTTGTTTTAGGGGTTTGAGGGTTTGGGGGTTTGGGGTTTAGGGAGCTCTTGTACATGACGGGAGTTTCTATTGTAGGGATGATCCATGTCATGCTCAGGATTGTCCGCAGTGTCTAACATAGTGGCTCAACTGGGTTTCGGCGCAGATCTATAGGGGAGCTACATCATAGCAGGAGCGTAGATCATATTCCATGATTAAACCTGCGGAACCGGGGTGTCAAGAGAAAGGCTGGCCCTAAATCCATACACATTTATATATATATATATATATGTTTATATATATATATATATGTATATATATATATATATGCCCAAACAACCCTAGCGCCTAGAATACCAGCAACTTCGCCGCAGATAGTTGTGACCTCTAACCCTAAACCCTTTCAATCCTTTTACCCGAAACCCCAAAAGCTGGCACCTGTAAGCACGCCGCAGCAAGGAGGCAGCCGAGTACTCCGAAGCCAGGGAATCGCATCCTTCTCAGAAGGTTTTGGGGGGGTTTAGTGGTTCATGACTCCATGTGACTAAAGTATGCACAGCAGGGTTCGACGGATTTGCGAAGATGAACGCTAAAACCTAAACCCTCAACCCTTAACCCTGAACCCTAGTGGCACTAGGCCCGGAACATGAAAGGGTTTAGGGTTTAGGGTTTAGGGGTTCAGGGTCAAGGGCTCATGAATCTCACATCTCTCAGCAATAGCTGCAGCTCTCGGCAAAGTGGTCGCAAGTTGGCGTTGCATCTTCGCCCGTGAGCTCCAGCTCTTCAAGACTTCAAGAACTCCTAAGCTCAACTTACAGTTTCTGGTTTAGCTGAGTTTCTAGAATCTCTCTTCTTCAACAACCAGGCCCAACAAAGTTCAAACAATTTAGGATAGACCAAATATATAAGGCCAAAACGTTTAAAGTTCTCCTATTGGCTAACTAAGGAATCCTACCCAGGTCCGAGTCCGAGAATACAGCTTTGAAGGCTAGATGACAGGGGAAACCAACGAAAAGGAACTACCAAAGATGGTCAAGATGCCCAGAAGCCTACCTGTTAGGGTTTAGGGTTTAGGGTCAACAGTTGTACCTTTTTTGTGTCACAGACTATAGGTACACCCTAAACCCCTCAACAAGACACAGTGATGCCTCGCACCGAACTTCGCGGAGGAGCTCAGCCGCGTGGCCTGCATTTCTGAATCATTCTGAATCCATGGTAAGGTTACTATAGAAGCCTAAATATTAACCAACATTATTCCATAGTGTTCCTTATTATGGTTCTACTATAAAGGAGCCCGAAACCCTGTTCTAATTATTGAGGCCCTTATATTGCGGTAAGGGAGCTGTGACGAAAGTAGTAGGCTACTTTAAGCGCACTATACGGGGACACAAAGGCTACTATCAGGACTCTGAAAGGGGAGCTAAGGTTGGTACGGTTTAGGGTGTAGGGTGCACAAGTACTCAGCTCCCAGCCTTTTCATACATCCCCGACATAGCTTACACAAGCAACTTTAGGCCGAGTCTGTCCAAACCGATAAGGATCCGCGGAGTGAGCTTCTATGTTGGTCTTCTTGGGGGGAAGGTACTACATTAGGTAAGGTTATTATAACGGGACGATAAGGTTTCATTAAGGGAGCATGCAAAGAGAACAAGATCCTCTCAAATGGTTTCATTTTTCTCGGGAATAGACATGACTGTTCAGTCCACCCTAAACCCTAAACCCTAAACCCTAAAGTTCTTGATCCGAGCTTGAGGCCGAAACCACGAGGGACACTGCATGCGGGAATTCAAGCTGACTAGCTGGGGAAGCTGCATAGGTAGTATTATTAGGGGTACCCCTTAAAGGGTACCCCTTCTGAACCCTACTTCTGGCCCTCTTAAAAGGGACCTTATTGAGAGGGTCTATATCCCCAAGGGTCCCCTAATCCTATCTCCCACTGAAAGCCGTGTCCTGCAAAAACATGTAACATGTTAGCGAATCCCACTAACCAGTCATTCAAAGGCCTACCTCAAGTCCGCTTATAGTCCTGCGCTCGAAGCACACACTCAAAATGCATCAGAGTCATGTCAGCAATCTGAGGGTGCGGTGTTTTGGGGGTTTGGGATGGTTGTTCTAGGATAGATGTAGCTGTGTGGAAAGTGCTAGTACTTCAGTACACGGCTCGGTGCTAACATTGTTGCGATGATGCCAAAACCCCAGCTGGAATTTCCGAGGAAGAATTCAGCTGCAGACGAGTCCTACTTATCCTCAACCTCACTACACTTGCTTTTTGCCTACAGCGAATGTGGTCAAGTCAGTAACCGTGCACGCTTACAGCAACATTCCAACGGCTATTTCTACAATTCTACAATTGGCTGAATCCCTGTTTCCGCGGGCCTTCATGGTTCGAACATGGTTTGTGTACACTGTCATAGTACACTTACTCAGAGGGTAGAATGTTTAGGAACAGAGCTCCCTCTATGTATGAGGATAGGTACGGTACGGGCTAAGATGAGCTCCTAGAAGGTCCCCGAGCGTCGCAACAGACCCTCCCCTTGGCTCAAGCGCCCACCAGGAACGTCGCCGGGCCGAAGAAGGGTTAAGGGTTTAAGGTCTAGGGGGTTTAGTACCCGAAAACTCTGAAGCGGCTGGAAAAAGCTCATGCATCTGGAAGTGGCCGTCCTGACCTTCATTGTTGAAACAGGGTTCACCCTCGTTGTATGATGTGTATATATATATATATATCTACACATACAATGATTCTCTTTTATGCGTGTATGTATTTAGTTATTTACGTATGCCCGGTTGTGTTTTTGCAGTCTTCCGCCTCACGCGTGTAGACATGAAGCAATTGTGCACTCCCATGACCTGATCCCTGAAAGGATCGCCGACGTCTACGACGCGTCATATGCAAGCAATAAGGCTGCATACCCTAACCCTTCTGGGAGCCGGTTTGCAGCTTCCGGAACTCCTAAACCCCCTGCATCAAAATAGCCCAAAACCAACATATTAATAGGGTCTTTGGGCCCAGAGGCCCTTAAAATATGAGTCCTTTGAGGGTAACCCTAAACCCTAAACCCAAAGGCTTGCAGGAACCCAAAGCTCCAAACATCGAGAGAACGCCTTGTCTCGCAAGCCTGGCATCTGCGGAGCCGCGCGGTAAGTACCTAACGAGGCTCCTTTCAAGGGGGTTACTTGGAGGTTCATGGGTAGTTATAAGTAGGGTTATAAATCCCCCAATACGGATTTATAACTATAGTTACCCTAATTATAGCCCCACTTATAACTACCCATGAACCTCCAAGTACCTCAAGGACTCAGGGGCTTTGAAGTGTGTGTTGGAATCTCGCGATTTTTTCTGTCGGGTTTTACAGGGTGTCTATGAAGGATTATAGGGGATCCTGGAAAAGAGCGTTTTAAGATTTCTCTAGGATTTTCTGTAAGGGTGCTATAGAGGTTTGTAAAGGTTTAGGGTTTTGGGGTTTAGGGGCATTAAGTGTTGAGGGTCTCAGCTTGTTTCGGGTTGTAAAGTGGAAGCCAGACACTTGGAATATCTCGGTCCTGGAGCCTCAAAGTTAGGGATCCCATCCACGTTCCAACTTGTTCGATCTTACCACATGGCTTTATAAGCTTAGATCTGAGGCCATGCAGTTCGGCAGTGAAGGTCAATGGCCGAGGGAGGTTTTAATGGGATGGGATTCATCAGATTCGCTCCTTCCTGAACCCTGGAACCCGAAATCAAAACACGAGAAACCTGCAACCTTCAACGCAAGCCTGAAGAAACTAAGACGACATAACACCGTAGAGCCGCAGAGCCTTCAATTCAAAGCCTTCGCAATCCTAAAACCCCCCAACCTCGATAGAAGCTTAAACGCCCTTATAGAAGCTTGGTACCTAAAGAAGCCTTATGCGTCGAACCCCTAAAGAACCCTTTTTAACCCCCATTAGGGCATACTTGGAAGGGGTCCAGGCTGCTGTCGCTGCTTCGTCTTTCGGCTGCTGAGCTTCCCAGCCTGAAATCTATGCTTGTGATGCAGCATATTTTTAATGTATTAGTACAGATTAAACCTATATTAATATTTTAATATGCGTATTAATACAGTTTCAAAATTAAAGTATCGTATACTAAAATATACTTAGTGTAGCAGGGTTTTCGAGTTCAGGGCTGAGGTCGGGGGTTTTAGTGCCGGGATTAGGGCCGAGGGTAGCACTTGGAGGTTCATGGGTAGTTATTAAGTAGGGTTATAAGCCCCTGAATATGGGTTATACATATATATATATATGCATAGTTATCCTACTTATAACCCCATAAGTCGGGTTATAAGTCCCTTAATATGGGCTATATATAGTTGTCCTACTTATAAACCCCACTCATGTTTACCCATGATGCTCTAAGTATGTTTCGTGTTTAGGGTAGTCGAAGCTGCATGGCGCAGAATGGAAGCTGCACGAGCCATAACAGCAACAAGCAACCTGCACCACAACGGTTTAGGGTTAAGGGTTTAGGGTTTGGGCCCTAAGCCCTAAACCCTAGACCGCACCACAGTGACAACAGTGCACGCACTGCTCAACGTATTCGGACTTGGGTCACCCTATTCCCCACACCAGAAGTTTTGTCTGTGTGTAAGGCTGAAACCCTATAAGACCTAAACCATAAATCCTCTATAACTGAAGCCCTATATAGCCTAAACTGGCCTAAACCTTGTAGGTGCTCGACTCTGACCCATCGGGGCCGCCCAGCGAAGTACCATGCCACACCTGCTCTCAGCGTTTACGGAGCATTTCCGCTTTTGTCAAGGGACTAAAGGAGGGACCATTAAAGGGACCCTTGGGGTTATAGGGGCTTTATGAGACTATATAACGGTATATTTAAGTGTTATATAGGTATTTGGATTAGGGGTCCCTTCCAGGGGTCCCTCCTATTGTCCCTGAATTTTGGCAAAAGTCGGAGCTCTGGCAGGTTCGGGGCTATGTTCTCCTATACTTCTAACACTTAGAAAGGGACCAAGGTGTACTTTACCCCCAAGCAGAGGCCCGCTTATGCCAGTTTACATCATGGCTGTGACTGTTAAGCTGCTGATCGCATCGCAATCTCTTCCGCCCTGCCATCATCCGGAACACTGACAATCACAATGCGCAACCAACTCGAGCAATCTAGCAGACCATACACAGCCCACCACCACCCCCCAGACGCACACGGAGCCCCTTAACAACAACCATATAGAAGCCTAAAAAAAGCTCAAACTTTAAACCCCTATGAACCCCTATAAACCCTAAACCCTGAACTTTAAACCCTGAACTCTACCCCTAAAGCCTCAACCCAGAAACCCTAAACGCAAGAACTCAGAGATCCGAAGCTCCAGGCCCCAAAGCCCAACACCTGCCGGCCGTAAACCATAACCTAGGGTTTAGGGTTTAGGGTTTAGGGTTTATTAGAATAAGGATTTGGGGGGTTCCTTTAAAAAGGCTCTATAAAGGGCTACTGCAAGGGTTTGGGGTTTGGGGGCCTGAATAGCTAGAATAGGGCTTTGGGGGGGTTCCTTTAGGGTTCCTTAGAGAGTTGTGTAAGGGCTACTGTAAGGGTTTAGGGTTTAGGGGCCATAATAATTAGACGAGGGCTTTGGGGTATATTATACTATAATTTTAAGAAGGAACCACCGAAATAGTATTAGTAAACAGAAGGACCCCTATATTAACACCCGTCAATCCTAAACCGCCCAAAGACCCAAACCTTAAAGCCCAACAACGAACCATAAAGACTTCAACTCTTGACCCAAAGCCCAAAGCCCTGAAGCCTCCCATGCTATAAATTCCGTCTCTGTCTTTCTTTAGGGTTTAGGGTTTAGGGTTTAGGGTTTAGGGTTTTGGGTTTAGGGCTCTCGCCGTCTCTCCCACTCTCACCCTCACACTCACTCTCACGCACACTCTCTCTCTCTCTCTCGCTCGCTCTCTCTACCTTGCCCCTCTGTCGCTCCACCTCTATTCGTATATACCTACATTACAGCTACATTACAGTACATTACAGCTACATTACAGTACATTACATTACATTACATTACATTACATTACAGCTACAGTAAAGTACATTACATTACATTACATTACATTACATTACATTACATTACATTACATTACATTACATTACATTACATTACATTACATTACATTACATTACACTGCAGCACTTTACATTACACTACTACATTACATTATTCCAATCCCACCCAGGCTTCCCAGGCACCAGCTCCGACCAGGCATCCGAGAAAAAAGGACAGCAACCAGCTTTCCATGCTTCAGCGATCGTAGAGCTGCTTTTGTGATGCTTGGAGCCCCTAAACTCATGGCTTCAGGGTATAAGTTTTTGGCTTATATACATGGCATGTAGGGTTTAGGGGTTTAGGGCTTAAGGGTCTATGTTTTAGGTTTATATACACATACAAGAGTTTATTTAAGGGGTTAGGGTTTTGGGCTTCCGGGTTTTGGGTTTTTAGGTGGACCTTAGGGCTTGGGGTTTAGGGTTTAGCAGCATTTAGGATTGGCATACGTTTAGGGTTCGGGGATTTGGGTTGTTTGGAGCTTTTCACGTACATCGCCAGTATCCTTTAAGCATTCACGGCCGACGGTCCAGTCAGCAACGATTGACACTGTCAAGAAGGGCTTTGATTCATGGTCTCGCTCTTGGGCTTCTGACGAGATGGAAATTGCTTTCTGGAGTGGGATGCTGGATTACGGAGACGCCTGGATAATAGTCCGGGGGTCGGGCACATGCCTATTGCGAAGAATTTAAAAGTATGGACCCATTACTAAGCCCGCAATACCACGTAAATCCGAACAAAAAGCACAAGGCCCGTCCACAGAACAGGAATATGCATGTATGTATGCTTGTATGCATGTATGTATTTATGTATGTATGTATGTATATATATATATATATATAGCTACACACACACACACGTGTAGTAGCAGACACAAAGTATCGGGATCCTGGTATGAAGACATGCAAAAAGGATCGCTGTTCGTCATTATCAGATTACACCACTCCTGCCCATGATGTTTGTTGGCACAAGTTCTTTTCGATCTGCTGCTAGGCAGTGCAGGCTGGATCTGCGTTTTCGGCAGACATCCGGCTGAGCTGTGGCTTTGAAGTTTAGGACTTACGGATTAAGAGTTTGGGATTTAAGCGCCCTAAATCCTAAACCCTAAACCCCAAAGACCCGAACATGTCGAAAGAGCGCACAGCTAAGCCAGCTGGGGCAAGCCTGCTTGTGCCAAGGATTTAGTCGGGAGCATCTCAAACGTGGGGTTCCCTTGTGGGGTTCTGCAGAAAAAGGATCGGACTATGAGGTGTAAAACTAGATAAATAAACATATATATATATATGATGTCAACAAAAATGAAACTGACATGAGTATACATATACATGTATATGTATATATA